ACAAAGTGAAAACAGAGTTTTATAAATGTCTGTGAATTTATTTTTTAAAGAAAAAACTGAAATATCACATAGTTCTTTGTTGAAGCACCTTTGGCAGCAATTACAGCCTTGAGTCTTTTTGGGTATGACGCGACAAGCTTGGCCCACCTGGATTGGGGGATTTTCTGCCATTCTTCTTTGCAAATCCTCTCAGGTTAGATGGGGACCGTCGGACAGCCATTTTCAGGTCTCTCCAGAGATGTTCAATAGGGTTCAAGTCGAGGCTCTGGCTGGGCCACTCTAGAACATTCACAAAGTTGTCCCTAAGCCACTTCTGTGTTGTCTTAACTGTGTGCTTAGGATCATTGTCATGTTGGAATGTGAGTCTTTGGGCCAGTCTGAGGTCCTGAGCGCTGAGAAACAGGTTTTCATTGAGGATATCTCTGTACTTTGCTCCATTAAGCTTTCCCTCAACCCTGACTAGTCTGCCAGTCCCTGCTGCTGAAAAACACCTCCACAACTTGATGCTGCCACCACCGTGTTTCACTGTTGGGATGGTATTGGGCAGGTGATGAGCGCTGCCTGGTTTTCTCCAGACATAACATTTAGAATTGAGGCCAGGTAGTTCAATCTTGGTTTTATCAGACCAGAGAGTCCTTAAGGTGCTATTTTGTATACTTTCATGGGTTTTACACTGAGGAGAAGATTCCGTCTAGCCGCTCTGCCATAAAGGCCAGATCGGTGGAGAGCTGCAATGATGGTTGTCCTCCTGGAACTTTGTCCCATCTCCATCCAAGATCTCTGGAGCTCAGTCAGAGTGACCACTGGGTTCTAGGTCACCTCTGTAACAAAGGCCCTTCTCCCCCCCCGATTGCTCAGTTTGGCTGGGTGACAAGTTCTTGGAAGAGTCCTGGTTGTGCCAAACTTCTTCCTTTTGAGAATTATGAAGGCCAATGTGCTTTTGGGAGCCTTCAGTGCAGCAGCATTTTTGTGTAGGCTTCCCTAGATCTGTGCCTTGTAATAATCCTGTCTCTGAGCTCTGCAGGCAGTTCCTTTTGACCTCATGGCTTATGCTCTGATACAGTATGCATTGTCAGCTGTGAGGGCTTCTATAGAGAGGTGTGTGCCTTTCCAAATCATGCCCAATCAATTTAATTTAATACTGGTGGACTCCAATCAAGGTGTAGAAACACAGCAACAATCAAGAGAAATGGAAGGCCCGTGAGATAAATTTCAAGTGTTGTTGCAAAGGGTCTTCTTTTTAATAAATTCACGTACATATCTGTAATGCTCTGGACTACAAATCCCAGAGACGTAAAGCTTATCTCAAGGATGAGCCCAGCTGTAAAGCTTGGTAACACTTTAATTTCAATTTGTTGTCTGTTCTTGCAGTAAGCTCAAGGAAACTGATCCAGTAGCATTTAAAAGTACTTTACTTGGCGAAAATGCTGCGTGTACAAACTTAGTTACAGGAAAAACAAATACATAAACAAGACAGGCTGCTACAAACACTCACATGCACCCACTACACTATCTAAGATGCTTTCTAAGAGACAAAACACTAAAATAGTACTTAGCTCAAGCTGCAAGTTCCACAAATTCCGTAATGAACAGGACTTCCTGGCACAGGCGTTCGAAGGAAAATGGCTTCTCGTTGCAGTCTCTGGTAGCTAAGTCCTTTGTATTAGAGTTCAGCCCTCTCTTGGTCAGAGTGATGTCCTCTCGTAAATCCTCGTCTTGGGAAGTCCTGTGAACCTTTCAGCTACTGGCTTTTTTATTGAGATAAACTGGCCTTCCACTTGGAGGTGCCACCCCTTAAGACTTTTATGAAAATAAAATACCATGCATTTCACTTTCCCACCTCTAGGTGGCAGCGTCGTATCATAAATTGCCATCAGTAGTCCAGATTTGGTGTGACTGTTTACACAAGGCTTCCCCATATCGCCATCCCATTGTGATACAAATAATGGGGAAACAATACAGGGCAGCCCCACCATTGTAAAAAAAACAGTTTGGTTTGTTTAGAATGCACTGCCCATTGTGTAAAACCAGCTCTCTGTCAATAAACAAACAA